AATTCAAACTGTTGAAATGAGAGGACCTCAACCTTACATTATTATTCTCTACACCTACTAATTGTATTTCAAACGTTGTATTTTAAGGAAAAACTCTCAATCCTTATAATAAACATGAGTGCAAGAAAAAATATATTAGGGCATATTTAATTTGGATCCTTTTCACTTTTGTTTACATTGTTAATGATTTTGAAAAAGCCACTTCAACTTCTCTTTATTTTAAATTTAAAAATAATTAAAAATATTTTAAAATTTAATATAATATAAGAATTATAAATCACTGATTTTAATTTTAATAACATCATATAATTGCAGTAGAGATGTCCATTACACTCATGGTCTATTTTGACAATTAAGAAAAAAAGTCTTAATTTATTGACTTATTTACATCATATTATTTTCTTTTTTTTTACGCTTTTTTTAAAACAAATTAAAAAACACTAAAAAGTTATCCCAAAATAGGCTTATAGGGGCGATTTGGGAAGTTTGGTTTTTTAATTGTTTTTGACTTTTTTGAATCATATCATTTCTCTATTTTTTTGTATAAAAAAATTTTAAAAAATCAAAAAATTTAAGGATGATTTGAAAAACTAGTTAAAAACAGACTTTTTAAAATTTTTATTATTTTGTATATAAAAAATAATATGATCTAAAATAAATTGAAAATTTAAAGTCAACATTTTTTTTTTGAAAAATGTTTTGGACCTCTAATTTTTAAGTTTTAAAGATAACTCTAATGAGTTAACAGTGGAATCCACCCACAATGATGTGATATTTTGATCTTAGTTTATTTTTATTTTATTTTTTTTATTCATCACTATGTTATTAATATTTCATTAAAACACTAAAATCAATGACCTAAATCATTGCTGTTTTTTTTTTTATCCCTAGCCTTTCAAATTATCCCTATGTAATGGAGTTGCTTCCCGCATATCTTTATTGTCGTGAGAGTGTCAAAGAGTACAACAGGAGTACAACAGATGATGGCAGCAACAATGACATTATGATTGTTGAAAAGTGAAAAGATATTTTAAAGTCGATTGGTATATCCTATTTTTTTCTTTTTATTAAAAAAAAACAAGGAGATTGAAATTGAAAACAAATTTAAGACTTAGGCATTGTTTGGGAAATGAGTTTGAGACTAAAATAGTTACAAAAAGTAAAATAAGTTATTTTAATTATAACAAACAAAATATTACATTTAACCTATAATCATTACACTCTTCTCTCACAAAATAAGTCAAAAAATCTAAAAAGTCAAAAAGTCAAAAAATTCTTCCTAAATTAAGCTTTTTAGCCCGGGTTAAAATAGCCAAAATAGCCAAAAAGCCAACCCACTTCCCAAACGACACCTAATAATTTTTAACAATTTTTTAACTAAAATATGAAGTAAAAAATTAGTATATTTTGGAATGATTTTTTAATTTTTTACAAAAATATATGTAAAAAGTAGAAAAAAAAATAGAATTTTTAATTTTTTGATATAAATTATATATATATTTTTATTTTTTTTAGTAATTTTTTAACTTTTAGACTAAAACTGTTACATGCCAAACAAGGTCTTAGTCTTCGTTTGGAAAGAGCTAAAATAGCCTGGCTTTTTGACTTTTTAGCTAGATTTTTTTTAGCCTCGTTTGATTTTTATTTTTGACTTTTTTATCTTTTGTAAGAGAAAAAATATAATGATTATGATTTGAGCATGACATTTTATTTTATTTACTTATGTAATCAATTTTATTTTTTATATTTTTTTATCTAAAAAGTCAAAACCAAACATAATTTTCATCATTTCTAAAAAACGGTAACACAAGTTTCAAAATTTAAATGAAAAATAATTTTTTTAATTATTTTCAAATTTTTTTTATTTTATTTTCTTCATCCACCAAACCACCAACTGGAATGACAAAATAGCCCCCCTCTTGAAAATGATGCTTTTTTGACTTTTTGTTTATATATGGGACAATTTGGTAATTTTGCATCAAAAGTCAGTATTTTGTCATTTTGTGATTTTGTGACTTTTTTTGTCCTTATGGGCTTAGTCTCAATATGTTTACCAAACGAAGGCTTAATTTGACCCAAAGAGCTCTACAAAATAAATAATTTAAATTAATTTAAATTATTTTTTAATTTTTATTTCAAATGTGTTTGAAAAGTAGGATTTAACATTTGAATTAAAAAAAAAAAATTACTATAGGTACCCTCACAAACCACTCTTAGGTGAATTCCAAATAATCACAAATAATCAAGAGGAAAGACCTCACTAAGTCAATATTTTGCAAGTAATATTTCCTAAATTGCAAAAGCAGAAAATACTTATCATTTGAAATAAAAGAGCAGTACCTTTTGAGTAAATCCAAACTCTTCTCAACTCCTAGTCGTCCAACATGGACTATCACTGGTCTCTTGGGCTCTCCATTGCTGATTAAAAAAATAACAATATATTAACATTTGGAGGAAACTCATATTACATGGCAATGAAATTTTCAGGATTGAAAGAAAGCCATACCTTAGTCTTATTCGCATTTCTTGAGAGCGATATTTGGGATAGAAGCTTTCGGAATCAACACCCTTATTCCAGAGACGAATCTTGTTACTTGAAAAAACAAAGAATTAACATGGATATGAGCTGCTATTTTCAGAGAAACATTTAAAAAAAATAAAATAAAAATTCAAGTAGAAGCATAAATGTCAAATTCTGTTATGTGATCAATGTGAAATTTTAGAAAGTTATCTATTGGGCGATGTTCATTTACATGCTGTTACCCTAGCTGCTTCAAGCTCCTTTGCAAGGGCAGCTGATGGAACCAGTGTAAGATCAACTGCCCTATGAAGAAACTCTGTTAAGAAAAGAACAAAACTTTTATTTATTAGTTCACAAACACGAAAAGTCAGAATCCATGTGAAATTGAGGCTATAAACAAAAGTTCCTGTACTTATGACCCACCACATAGGTTTGACCAGCCAACTAAAGGTGTATCTTGGTATGTATCTGCAAGTCAAAACAGGAATCGGGTGTTGATTCCGAATCGAGAGAGAAGCACGAAAGATCTTTGCAATTTTCTTATTTGTATAATCAATTTTACTTCCCAAAATTACTATATGTGAGAGAAAGATTTCATATTTAAAAAATATAAAAGATTTCATATCATAAACTGAGAAAGATTAATAATATTCTCTGGTTTCTCTTTTATATTATTAGATTTCATATTATAATGAATACATTATAATATACTTCCCAAAATTACTATATGTGAGAGAAAGATTTCATTATGATACATTATAATGATATGAATACTTTAATATTATTGTGCTGTCAAATAACCAAATATTATAATGATAAGTTGATGGGCATAGAGAATATACAACAGAGAGCCGAAGACAGCAGAATTTAGAGCACAAACACAGAATATTTTTGAGTAATATAGAGCACAAAAATATTACTAAACTGTGTTCGATGGGCAGAATTTGCTTGACAAACACAGAATTCAAGCTACAAATTCAGAATTCAGAATTCAAGAGTGGGAGTTCGAAGGGAGCCGAAGACAACAGAATTTAACTATCACCTAAATTCTGAAGCTGAGATCACATAATGCAATAGCAATACAGCATTAACCAGTTTAGTTTGTTATCTATTGAAAGGAAAGCACAAAATAAACTCACTTGTTATCATGCCAGCCCACCAAAGTGGCTCATACAAATATGAATAGCCTCCAACACCTGTAAAAATAATTAGCAAATATAATAAACGTGTTCATCCAACTTCAAAGTGGAAAATTGAACAATTTAAGGCAGACTATACAATAAGTGACGCTTAAAAAAAAGAAAAAAAAGATTATACAATAAGGCAGACTAAACATAATCTATGTTTTGGCCATTACCGTAGCCAAAAAAAATGACAGAACATAACAGTATATTGAGAATGGAAAAAGAGCTCTCTCTCTCACTCTCTCTCTCTCTCTCTCTCTTCTTTTGTGGTTGTTCAGGGGACCAGGAGAGTTTGAGCAAAGCTCACACTTCAATGATTGTGTCAAATCATTGATGAAGTTATGATTTTCCACTTAACTAAACTCTGCCTTTTAGTAATGGAAACACAGATTTTAACACAAAATTGACTGAGTTACACTGTGTGTTCCACTGTGTTCAAATTGATTTCAGAATTTGATTCAGAATTTGATTACAGGAAGTCAAATTTGATTTCAGAATTTCATGTCTACAGGAAGTCAAATTTGATTTTGTGATTTCAGAATTTGATGACTATAGGAAGTCAAATTTGATTTCAGAATTTGATGACTATAGGAAGTCAAATTGACTATGCGTTCCAATTCCCCACACATTTAACTCCAGTTGCGGTTATAATTCACTCAACAATACTTTCTTTGTCTTTCTCTTTCTCTTAGCATGATTTCAGAATTTAACACATTTAACATGTGATTTCAGAATTTAACACACATTTAACTCCAGTTGCGGTTATTTTAGCATGAGTTATTAACATGAGTACTCTTTAATTTTTACTCAAGGCACGGTGTAAAAAACAGGAAATCAGTCAACCAGAGTCAATTTTATTATTCTGAAAGTCATAGACTAACCCAGCAGAATTTGATAAAATAAAATTTAAAGTCAAAGTCACAAATGATCTTTAAATGATCATAGTCCAAAAATAAAATTCTGCTAGGTGGAGTAAATGATCTTTGATAAAATCATAGAATCCAAAAATCAACTCAACAAAAGCAACTGACTTCAAGCAACTGACTCCAAGCAACTGACTCCATTCTATTGTCAAGCTGCCAATTGGCCACATAAATATTATATTTAGTACAACTCTCTACATGAGAACCCCAAAATCATGAAGAAATAACAAATATCACATGAAATAGAATGAAAAAATTAGAGATTAAAATCCCTCATTTATGTATGTAATGACAAATTGGATCGATAGTGCGTATGGTTGGAAATGGAGGGCTGAAAAAGAAAAGAAAAAAAGAAAAAATAGAAATTACCATAGAACTTATCCTAGCTTGGCGTCATCGGTTGATCTCACTCCACTTGTCTGCACACATACACTATCACACAATGGTTTCTCTTTTTAATAAACAATGGCATTGTCAAATGAGAAAAAAAAAATAACAACGAAAATGAGTAAGCTTAACAATGTATTAATCGGAGACCTGATCACCATGGGTCCATTACCGCCATAGGTTCTCAATCATAGCAACTAATGCTTTCCTTTCAGCAAAACCAACTAAAATCTGAGTATGAGAGTGCAATCTAACAAACAATCAAAGTAAAATACCTTTTTCAGAGTCTAGTTAAAGATTGACAATGGTTGAGTACCCAGTAGGCATCACTCTAAGCCAATCCACCACTGCCGATTGGTACCAAATTGTATTGATTCCAGACTTTAAAAAACAAAAACAAAAACAAAAAGAAGAAGAAGAACAGTTAAGAAATAACATTGCTACTTTAGAAGTCTGGAAGTGATAGAGAAAAGAACATGATCATAACTTCATATTAGATACTAACCTTATTGAATACCCAAATTTCACCATTAGCAGTTGGTTTTGGCACACCATGTCCATTATAATGGAAGAGAACTCTATCAGAATTGGCATCCAAGCTCATAATGTGCCTACTTACATGTCGTGAAGAATAAGTTAAAACATTATTTGATATTAAATTTTTACACAAAAATAATATAAAAAAAAAATCTCACTTTGGGTTGCCATCGTTTATATTGGCCAAGCAAAGAGTTCCCATTTGTTTTATTTACCATTATAGTTGCAATAGAAAATGGATCTACAAACAAAAGGAAGAAGTGAAATGACATAAATACTTTCATAACATTAAACCTATACCCATAAGAAATAAATCTAAGTGACTCCAGCCATCATCAAATGCACAACCAATATGACAACAGGTGCCACAACTTCAAAAGCAAATTAAACATAGAATAAAAAGCCACAGGTTATGTAGTTAATTGCAGGCCACAAAAAATTCAAAAGGTCAAAGTAGATACACCCATACAACAAACATTTCAAACTAATTTCATAAATTAAAACCCATTTCATAAATCAAAAGCTTTTCAAAATCATAGGAAATTAACACCCATTTCCCATTAAAGAATCAAAACCATGTCAGAAATCAAACTGAAAATAAAAATTCATTTCTGAAATCAAAACCCATTTAAAAAATGAAACCCATTTCATGAAGATCAAGTATTATTTCACACCCAAAACCTTTTACAAAATTAAATCCATTTAAGAAACACAACTTATTTCAAAAATCAAAACTCATTTCTCATTTCAAAATCAAACCCATGTTAGAAGCCAAACTGTAAATACAAACCCACACAATGACCAACCCAACCAAACACCCACAAATGTCAAAAAGGTTTACAGTTTAAAATTGATGAATTGCAATTTCAACACCAATCCACAACTCACAAAAATAAATGATCTAAGATTCAACAAAATGAAAAAATATCTAGAATCCAGATTCAACAAAAAATAACCAGATTAAAAGATATTCAGATTCAACCTTGCAAACCCACAAAAATATCTAGATTCAAGCAATCAGAAACAACCAAACCCACAAAAATATCATGAATTGCAAAAGTTGGAAGTTCTAGATTCAAGCACACACACACACAAAATAAATAAATAAAAATAAATAAAAAATAAAAACCTAATTTTAATTCATATTTCCAATCACTTTCCTTTTCTCTCCACAAATCACTCTCCAAATCCAAGATTCAAGCACAAACCCAAAAAAAAAATCCAATTTTAATTTTTCTAATCATTCCGCTGCCTTCAATTTCTAAAACTCCCAAAACTTTTGCATAAATACACATATTTAAACAAAAAAAATCCTAATTTTGAGTGGGGTTATGTAGCTCCACCAATGATAACTTGGATATACAGAAATATATGCATACATAATCCCCACAAAACATATATATCAATATGTGTATATATATCAAGTTACTCATACATAAAATACACAGGTAGACATTCAAATACCCTATCTTCTAGGGAGAGATTGATTTGATTCAGTGGGGGAAAAAATGAAGAACTTAACTAATTAAAATACCTGTTTGGGATCTCTTTTATTTTTTTGGACTATAAAATAAAATTTATTGACCCAGCAGAATTTAAAGTCAAAGTCAACCTGAGTCAAGTTTATTTTTGGATTCTTTATTTTTGTACTCTTTAATTTTTACTCAAGGCACGGTTGCTTGAAGTCAATTTTATTTTTGGATTCTATGATTCTATGATGCGAGAGATAAACTAACCCAGCAGAATTTTAAGGCACAAAGTCAGAATTCAAGGCAGCAGAGTTTTAAGGCACAAAGTCACAAATGTATGAGTTTTAACCCAGCAGAAATCACCTGAGATACGAAACTAAAAACTACGAAACAATAAGGAAATTATTTACACTTGAATAGAGAGAGAGGGAGAGAGAGAGAGAGGGAGAGGGAGCACAATGTAGGTTCCCAAAGGCTCAAATGTTGAAGAAATGAAGCCCCTTCCCACAATTACCAGAAAATCCTTCAATGATCAACCCAGAATAAACAATGAAAAAATACAAATGAACAAATAATGGAAAAATACATTCACATTCATGATCTGTCTATCTCTCGCATCTAAATCTTCCTCAATTTTCAATAACATCTCTCAACCCTAACCCTAATTCCTTATTTATCCATTTCCCAGATCCCCAATTTCTCTCTCTCTCTCTCTCTCTCTCTCTCTCTCTTTCTCTCTCTCTCTCTCTATATATATATATGTGTGTGTGTGTGTTTGTATCTATCAATTTTGGTGGTGGTGGTGGTTATGGCGTGTGTGAAGAGGGTTAACAGATCGACGTCGGTGGCGTTCGCACCGGACCCCCCCATACATGGCGGCGAGGACGATGGCCTTCGTCGGTGAATCTCGAGATCTTCGAGGTCGATTTCCAATCCGACGATCGTGAGCTCCTCGGTCTCTTGGGGGAAGAATAAGCAACACTATCATTTGCACAAACAGAACCAGCAAGAAATCTATCAGACAAAAACCTCACAACCCAACCTAAATGACCCGTAAATAAACCACAGAAACAAAAGGGGAGAGACAGATATCTTACCTTGCAAGCCGAGTTCGAGAGGCAGATATCAAGGACTGTAGAGCAGCGTCGGGAGCTAGCGAAGATGGAGGGTAGGAAAGAAGAACCGTTGGATGAGAGAGGGAAGGGTAAGGGAGAGACGTGTTTAGGCAGATGTGAGAGAGAGAGCAGAAATTCTTTGGGCGGTAAAAAAATTGATGACAACCGTTGGATATTGATTGGGATTATCTCTGCCATTGGATCAAAATGTATCTCACATACATTTTGATACATTTTCAAAAAGCCTCTTGGCTTATTATATAGATTTACACCATATTATTTTCTTTTTTTTTACGCTTTTTTTAAAACAAATTAAAAAACACTAAAAAGTTATCCCAAAATAGGCTTATAGGGGCGATTTGGGAAGTTTGGTTTTTTAATTTTTTTTGACTTTTTTGAGTCATATCATTTCTCTATTTTTTTGTATAAAAAAATTTAAAAAAATCAAAAAATTTAAGGATGATTTGAAAAACTAGTAAAAAACAAACTTTTTAAAATTTTTATTATTTTGTATATAAAAAATAATATGATCTAAAATAAATTGAAAATCTAAAGTCAAACTCTAATTTTTAAGTTTTAAAGATAACTCTAATGAGTTAACAGTGGAATCCACCCATAATGATGTGATATTTTGATCTTAATTTATTTTTATTTTATTTTTTTTATTCATCACTATGTTATTAATATTTCATTAAAACACTAAAATTAACGACCTAAATCATTGCTGTTTTTTTTTTTATCCCTAGCCTTTCAAATTATCCCTATGTAATGGAGTTGCTTCCCGCATATCTTTATTGTCGTGAGAGTGTCAAAGAGTACAACAGGAGTACAACAGATGATGGCAGCAACAATGACATTATGATTGTTGAAAAGTGAAAAGATATTTTAAAGTCGATTGGTATATCCTATTTTTTTCTTTTTATTAAAAAAAAACAAGGAGATTGAAATTGAAAACAAATTTAAGACTTAGGCATTGTTTGGGAAATGAGTTTGAGACTAAAATAGTTACAAAAAGTAAAATAAGTTATTTTAATTATAACAAACAAAATATTACATTTAACGTATAATCATTACACTCTTCTCTCACAAAATAAGTCAAAAAATCTAAAAAGTCAAAAAATCAAAAAATTCTTCTCAAATTAAGCTTTTTAGCCGGGGTTAAAATAGTCAAAATAGCCAAAAAATCAACCCACTTCCCAAACGACACCTAATAATTTTTAACAATTTTTTAACTAAAATATGAAGTAAAAAATTAGTATATTTTGGAATGATTTTTTAATTTTTTACAAAAATATATGTAAAAAGTAGAAAAAAAAATAGAATTTTTAATTTTTTGATATAAATTATATATAGATTTTTATTTTTTTTAGTAATTTTTTAACTTTTAGACTAAAACTGTTACATGCCAAACAAGGTCTTAGTCTTCGTTTGGAAAGAGCTAAAATAGCCTGTTTTTTTGACTTTTTAGCTAGATTTTTTTAGCCTCGTTTGATTTTTATTTTTGACTTTTTTATCTTTTGTAAGAGCAAAAATATAATGATTATGATTTGAGTATGACATTTTATTTTATTAACTTATGTAATCAATTTTATTTTTTATATTTTTTTATCTAAAAAGTCAAAACCAAACATAATTTTCATCATTTCTAAAAAACGGTAACACAAGTTTCAAAATTTAAATGAAAAATAAAATTTTTAATTATTTTCAATTTTTTTTTTTATTATTTTCTTCATCCACCACACCTCCACTACCACTCCTAGCATTTCCCTCAACTTTTATGTTTTTTAAAAATATATATATGTACTAAAAATATATATATATTTTTTATAGTGGTTATAAAATATATTTCTTAACACGCAAAAAAAACATTTAAAAGAAAAACCAAAAAAACAAATGGGACAAGGGGCACATTGACCGAGCTTGAGTCTGAAATCACTCGACTTACCGAGCTGATCAACTCGGCAGAGGCGGACAAACAGAAGGCTTTGGCCGAAAAGAAAGACCAATATCTATACAGATAAGGATCTAGGCTGACGAGGTTGACAGGAATAACCAACATTTGTCTCTCTTCAGCCGAGATAAGGATCTAGGCTGAAGAAGTTAGCAGGAATAACCAATATTTAGCTCTCTTTAGCCGAGATAAGGATTTAGGCTGAAGAGGTTGGCAGGAATAACCAACATTTATCTCTCTTCAGCCAAGATAAGGATCTGTGCTGAAGAGGTTGGCAGGAATAACAAATATTTATCTCTCTTCAGCCGAGATAAAGGATCTAGGCTTGAGAAGGTTGGCTGGTATGACCAACATGAAGTAAACTGATTAAAAAGCTAATAAACCAAGATAGCTATCTCGGCCAAAAAAATTCAAGACATGCCAATTAAAGTTGAGAGACAAACACAAGTAGGATATGAGCCGGGCAAAAAGAATGGAAAAATAGCAGATTTCATTCAAGATTAGAACCACATTACAAGAGGTGGGGCTTCAGCCCGGTTACAAAGTCTTTCAAAAAGTTAGCATCAAAAGAAGAAAATACAAGATTAGGCAAATAAATCGTCCAGATCTACATCCAAGTCAACCCGAGCTTCACCACCTGGTAGCCCGGCTCCAGCAGGTAGGTCGTTCATAGCCACATCTTTAACCGTAGTGGGCACTGGTAGCTCCACCCGAGCTGACTGAGCAGTTTGGAGACCATGATCTTTGGTATCAACTGAGGCGTTGTTTGGCTCTAGGGATGCCTCCTCATCCTCCTCCCCTACTTAGAGCAATTTTTGTTGAATGGCATTGGCATAGTCCGCCATGTAACTTGGAATGAAGTGAGGAGGAGGGTTCTGGAAGACCTCGATTTCTTGGCCATAACCAAGCTTTGACACAGCTGTCTTCTATCCGCATTTGAAAAATATATCCTTTGCAGCCTCACATTGTAGGATGTAGGTGGCTTCCCATTCCTTGTAGCCGTGGTCCTCAACATCTTTCGCGCTCTTTCTCAGCTCGGTTATTTCGGCGTCTTTTTTCTTCTCAAGCTTGGCCAGCTCGCGCAGATAGCGTTCTTTCTTTTCGGCCAAAGCCTTCTGTTTGTCCGTCTCTGCCAAGTTGACCAGCTCGGTAAGTTGGGCGATTTCAGACTCCAGCTCGATCATCTTTTGTTTGGCTTTGTTGAGCTCGGTCATCCGTGCGTTGGCATCTGCTACGGCTAGTCGCGCTGTCTTGCGCAGCTCCAACACACGCTTATGTGCAACGTGGTTCTTCTGCATGGCCTGCAAAGAACGGACTGAGATTATAAGTAAAACTGAGCAAACAGATGTACAAAATTGGAAAATAAAAAAATGGAGTACTTGCCAACACCATTGACTTAGTTGCCGAGCAGATGGCCTTGAGCTCGGTCAAGTGGTCGTGATGCTCCATGTCGGCTGGCAGACACACGCTCTTGGCAAGGTTGAAGGCCAGCGTGTGGTCCCTGTCTGCAACCACTGAGTCTGTGTTCGAAATAGCCCGGTTCTTGTAGGTCATCTTTGGTGCCCACTCAGAATGACTAGCTCGGTCAGAGAGCACGGGTTCAGGGCTTGGCAGCGTGGTTTCAGGGGACATAGTGTCA